TAGATAGATAGATAGATAGATAGATAGATAGATAGATAGATAGATAGTCTCCCCTTTGCCACATCCAAGATGGCGTCTATGTATCAATGTCTACGGGCTTAACCCTCCACCATGATCCTAGCCTGGTTCTGAGCTAGCATTAGCATTAGCTTAACAATCCAATTACAATGAACGCCACATTTTATTCGATGTTCAGATTGTATCGACTCTTAAGAGGCTTTACAGCCGAACCCAGCTCATAATTTCTGCAGGAAAATTTCCAGTAAACGTTGTCCGTCCGTCTCTTTTTCTGCTTTCCCACAATGTGTCCTTCATTCCGGGGTCAAAGGTCAACTATCTGTCTCCTGATTGGCCTCAGGGCTTTCCCCGCACAGGCTCTCTCTCTCACACACAGTCTGGGAAAAGAGCAAAGTTTCTGCGTGGAAATCTTCCACCGGCGCACAAACAGACGTTTGTAGACGCACAAACAAAGAAGAAAGACACAAAAGTGCACTTTAAAGGCTAATAGATATTTAAATCGGACGTAAAATCTCCTGTAAACATGTTGTTTTGCTTATATTGGTCTGATAAGTGTTTACTTCCACTTTCTTGGGAGTTTGTGCTACGTTTTCTAACACACACACACAGACAGACTCACACATGCACAAACCAGGGATGGTGGTAAAATGAGGGTGAATAGTGAAAGCACCCATTTATCCGAACTCCCTCAGGTCTCCTGGGACACTCAGTGATGGGAACAATGACCGGTTTAACTCTGTCCACCGACCTGCACAACACACACACACACACACACACACACACACAAACACACATACTCCCCTCACAGGCACAGTAACACAACTGCTGGTAGTCCAACACTAAAGGCACTCTCTGAGGAACCTGAGAGCAAAGGAAACTGCACGTTGACCTCATGAGTTGTTCCTTATTAAAACACTAACCAGTCCTGAGAGTTTATTAAATAAGTGAGTTTAGTTTTGCGTTTTTTTTATTTATAAAGCTTGATTACAAATCAGATATCAAGGTTAATCAATACAACTACAACTATACAAGATTTATGTTATTTATTGGTAACAAAATCATTTCTCTCGGGATAATTAAAGCATTTCTGGCTTTTTTATTGCATGTAAAGCTAATTTCTTTTCAGTAATTTGCTCTAAAATGACCCAAAAGGGTTAGGGTTAGGGTCAATACAACTTTCAGGGGACATATTTATGTAATTTGTTGGTAACAAAATCATTTCTCCCTAGGATAATTGAAGCATTTATGATTTATTTATTGCATGTAAAGCTAATTTCTTTTCAGTAATTTGTTCTAAAATGACCCAAAATGCATATTAATGATGTTATTTCATGAGACCAGAGCAAAAAAACAGTAATTTGTTCTAAAATGACCCAAAAGGGTTAGGGTTACAACTATAAGGGGACAAATGTATGTTATTTGTTGGTAACAAAATCATTTCCCTCTGGGATGATTAAAGCATTTCTGATTCATTCATTGCATTTAAAGCTCATTTCTTTTCAGTAATTTGTTCTAAAATGACCCAAAACGCATAGTAATGATGTTATTTCATGAGACCAGTGCAAAAAAACACATATCCGGCCACGCAAATCCCCTCTTAGGGATGTAAACAGTCCATCAGTAGCCCCAAACTGTCCTCACACTCACTGTAAATCCAGCAGAAACCTCTGAAACCTGCAGGATGCTCACAGCTCCAAGCAGCCCACAGCGACACGCAGTGGTCAGACTGGAGATTGCAGCCATCCCAAAAGGACTCGACTGGATTCAGCTTAGTAAATAAAAAAACATCCTGACAGGAAGCAGCAGAAATCCAACATGTCTGGGCTTTTTTTTTCTAGTTTTCTGGCTTCACAATCATCTAGAAAAATATATATATTTTACCTGGATTTCCAGGATTTTAGGGCTTTTGGGTGCACATAATTTGGTGAAGTGTTCCTATAAACCTCCCATAAAACACCGACCACTTCCCCCCAATCTGAGCTTTACTTTACTTCTGTGAACCTGAACAGGGTTTTACAGTGGGGGAAATAAGTATTTGACCCCTTGCTGATTTTGCAGGTTTGCCTACTCACAAAGAATGCTTATTTTTCCTCATCAGATGGTTATCAATTTTTATAAATTCATACGATGTGATTTTCTGGAATCTTCTTTGGGATTCTGTCTTTCACTGTTAGAATGTACATATGATTAAAGTTATAGATCGTTGCATTCTTTGTAAGTGGGCAAACCTGCAAAATCAGCAAGGGGTCAAATACTTATTTCCCACACTGTATGTGTCTAACTTGTCCCTTTCCTATCGTTATTCAGGTTGGACGAACTGGGAATGAAGCTGACTTTGCACCAGTATTGTTTTAACGGCTTTTTTCTGGTTGGATTTGAGCCTCTAAAAATAGCCTGAGTCCAAAATGCTGCTCTGATAGACGGACATCCAGAATTCTCTGAGGCGGAAACCAAAAAGAAAGTAATCCTTTAGTTGTTTTTATTCCAGGAACTGTATCCATCCATTTTGTTTTTCCTTTTTTGAGCTTGTTTCTCCTCCTTCCGCCCCTTCTCTTCCCACCTTTTCCGTCTTTGGCCGCGTTCCCACCCTCTCACTCACATTTTAACCTACTCTCTTTGTGTATTATACTCACATATGAGGAGTTTACTGGTTATTTCTCACTCAAAACTGATTATTTTCCTTCTTAAAATCTCCAAAATGAGCAGCTTCCTGTCTCAGAGGGAGCAGAAAAGATGCTCCATAAAGCAGAATGGAGGCAGAGCCTTCAGATTTCTGGTATTTTCTGAGTTTTTAAAGCAGAATTAGAGGCAGACCCTTCAGATTTCTGGTATTTTCTGAGTTTTTAAAGCAGAATTAGAGGCAGAGCCTTCATATTTCTGGTATTTTCTGAGTTTTTAAAGCAGAATTAGAGGCAGAGCCTTCAGATTTCTGGTATTTTCTGAGTTTTTAAAGCAGAATTAGAGGCAGAGCCTTCAGATTTCTGGTATTTTCTGAGTTTTTAAAGCAGAATTAGAGGCAGAGCCTTCATATTTCTGGTATTTTCTGAGTTTTTAAAGCAGAATTAGAGGCAGAGCCTTTAGATATCAGGCTCCTCTCTGTATTTCCTGAGTTTTCTGCCTCTGGGATCTAGCTTTTAATGGACGGTGAGGCCTCTTAACTTTCCATTTAAATGAAACCCTACAGCCCAAACCAGCCTGAAGTTTCCCCGTCTTGACCGGTGTTTCTCTTTGAGCCGTACGGAGTTTCTGGAGGTTAGATAGATTTAATCTTCTGACCCAAAATACGCCGACGTTCGTCTCTTCCCACTTTTTTCC